CGTCTCCTAGAGGAGGGATGTCCGACGTGTAGATGCTGTAAAGCAGTGGTCCCAGCAGACTCCCTTGCGGAACACCTGCTGGGATCGGAAATTGTCCCGAAAGGGAACTATTCAACGACACCCTGAACGACCTTTGCTGGAGATAGTTACGGGTGATTTTCACAAGGTATGGTGGAAAGTTGGAGTTACAAAGCTTGTATATAAGTCCGTCGTGCCAGACATTGTCAAACGCCTTTTCGACGTCTAACAAGGCCATGGCTGTGGACTTGGATACAGCTTTGTTACTTCGGATGTTATTCATCACCCGCACTAGCTGATGATTGGTGGAATGCCCCTTGCGGAACCCGAACTGTTCCGGAAGAAGAATGTCATGTTCCTCCACAAACTTGTTTAGTCGGCTGAGGATCAATTTTTCGAATGAGCAAAAGCATGACACCAGCGCTGTTTTATATCTTTTCCGGTTCAGAACCTGATAGGATTTCCCGCAGTTTTTTTATGAATGGGGCGGAGCAGAAAGTTTCTTTTGATCAGAATATGTAAAATAGGATGGACTTTGGATGTTAATATAATTACATATATAGAGGCACCAGATATGTTTCACCGTCAGTTGTGTGTAATTCACCAACTAAATGGCATCGAACACGTCTTTCAAGCAATTTGTGTTCAAATTTGAATGTTTCGGTGTGGGAAGAAATTAAGGGAAAACTTGTTTTTACTAATAATTGGGGTTTGTTTAAAATTTATTTCCCGGAAAAAAGTGATCGTCAAGGTCCATGTCTTTTTCGGGTTATTGTTGCGGGGTGGGGGTGTTAGGAGAGGTATTTGAGGGGTGGGGGGGTTTGGAAAGGTTGTTGATGAGTGTGGTGGGGGGGGTTAGGAGAGGTTGTTGAGGGGGAGAGATTGTTCTGAAGGGGGGAGGGGGAGAAATTGTTGTGAAGGGGGGAGGGGGAGAAATTGTTGTGAAGGGGAGAGGGGGAGAGGTTGTTGTGAAAGGGGGAGGTGGTTTACATCATTATTTTTCCTCATTGTGGTCACGCCGTGATCCACCTTTAGCCGCTGATTTGGTCTGCTTACTGCAGGACCAAGTATCACGCCGTCCGAAGCGAAAATAAGCAAAAGCATGACACCAGCGCTGTTTTATATCTTTTCCGGTTCAGAACCTGATAGGATTTCCCGCAGTTTTTTATGAATGGGGCGGAGCTGAAAGTTTCTTTTGTGCAGAATATGTAAAATAGGATGGACTTTGGATGTTAATATAATTGCATATATAGAGGCACCAGATATGTTTTACAGTCAGTTGTTGGTAGTTCATCGAGTGTATGTCTCCTATAAAGCAATATTTTTGTTGAAAATGTTGGCTCTGCACGTAAAAAAATAATTGTTTATACATTATTAGGGCTTGCTTAAAATTTATTTCCCGAAAAAAAAAATGATCGTCAAAGTCCATGTCTCTTTCGGGTTATTGTTGAGGAGGAGGGGGAGGGGGTTGTTATGCGGGAGGGGGTTTTACATGCACGTTTTTTCAAGTCTCATCCCTCATTGTGGTGGACACGCCGTGATCCACCTTTAGCCGCTGACCGAGTCCTGCTTGATGCAGGACCTAGTGCCAAGCGGTGCCGAAGCGGTAATGAGCAGAGGCAGTTAATTAGTTAGTTAAATGATCTTTATTTTAGTTTAACTTGGACGATTACCATATAAATTTTTACTAAGTGATTTAATTGCTTTCTTCATCTTTAGGTATGGGCAAAATTTAAAATTTGTTTTACAGGATTAGTCCTAGACTTAGTACACGGTCGACCACCTTGGTGGGATTGGTTTGTTTTGTTTTTAGAATTTGAAGAGAAACTACTTAATACTACTATTTACAGCTTAAAACTAACCTACTCTACTATATACACTTAACCTACTATGTACAAATTGCTTATTAAAGCATGTTCAGAAAGATTGCATTTTTGAATAAATTTAGTTGTCATATCATCAATTTTGGAATCTACTTTGGGAATTTCTGCCTCTTGATGGAGGTCTGCTATTCTTGTGTCGAATGGACGATCTAGGATCATCCTCAACACTCTATTCTGTGCAACCTGGATTTTGTTCCTGTGGGTCTGAGCGCACGATTCCCACACCGGGGCGGCATATAAGATCGCGGGGGCTATGATCTGTTTGTAAACAGCCAGTTTGTTTTGCCTTGAGAGGCGGGATCTGCGGCAAATGAGCGGATACAAACACCTAACCAAGGCGGAGCACTTAACTAGGGTTTTCTCTATGTGCGAGCGGAACAGGAGCTTCTCATCGAACAACATCCCGAGATAAGTAACATCAGTGGACCACTCGACCCTTGTACCATCCATTATTACGGTACAGGAGGGAGACGGTTTAAGTTTTGGTGATTGTCTGTGAAGGAACATGATCGCTTGGGTTTTCGAGGCGTTGATTTTGATTTTCCACGAGGTGGCATAATCAGTAAAGGTGTCAAGGCATCGTTGCAGCTTGTTCGTAATTTCACGAGGCATCCTACCCTTGACGGCTATCGCGGTGTCATCTGCGAACAGAAAGAACACGCAACCGTCTCCTAGAGGAGGGATGTCCGACGTGTAGATGCTGTAAAGCAGTGGTCCCAGCAGACTCCCTTGCGGAACACCTGCTGGGATCGGAAATTGTCCCGAAAGGGAACTATTCAACGACACCCTGAACGACCTTTGCTGGAGATAGTTACGGGTGATTTTCACAAGGTATGGTGGAAAGTTGGAGTTACAAAGCTTGTATATAAGTCCGTCGTGCCAGACATTGTCAAACGCCTTTTCGACGTCTAACAAGGCCATGGCTGTGGACTTGGATACAGCTTTGTTACTTCGGATGTTATTCATCACCCGCACTAGCTGATGATTGGTGGAATGCCCCTTGCGGAACCCGAACTGTTCCGGAAGAAGAATGTCATGTTCCTCCACAAACTTGTTTAGTCGGCTGAGGATCAATTTTTCGAATGAGCAGAGGCATGATAGCAGCGCTTATTTATATCTTTTCAGGTTCAAGCAGAATGATAGGCAACCAAGTGGTATTCGTTTGGGATGACTGGGTTTGGGAAAAAGGCTTATTTCATGAAATCAGTGATAAAATTATCATTTGTACATTTTCAATAGTTTAATTACAGAAAAATTGGAAAAATATTTATTTCAACAGGTTCGTAATGTAATATCCTATCGATTGGCGTATTTAGATTTTAATTTCATCTATAAATGACAAAGTTACAAGCGTTCAAAACCTAACACTCCTTCACCACACATATTTTTTGATTTGCACCCCAGTATAGTCGACAAAGACGTAGTTCTACGTCAAAAAGCTATAGAAAGAAGGTCGCTGCTTAGGTTGCCGAGAATACGTAAATTCCCCTATATTCGTGATTTCTGAGTTTCGGAATCTACACAAATTGTGTACGCTGCACAGTAGGCCTGGTCGCTTTTATATTTGTGTCATATAGGGTAAATGGATGTAATGTCGGTATAAATGCCCCTAATTTGGGCCCATACATAAATTCAGCAATCGACTAAATTTTCAGTGGCGACCAAAAATATCTACACGGTGAATGAGAACCACCTAAATTTGAGTTTAGTTCACTCATAATCGCCAAAATGCAGGAACTCAGCGATGAATAAATTTGTGAAAAACCCTAGGAAAAACCTAAAAAATCTGCCGGAAAATGAGGAAATTGACGAAAATTTTATTCAGTCTCGGAGTAGTATCAATGGACTGAGTGAATCCAATCTTTACTTTTCTCAAATTCGAGAATTTTTCCCTGGAAAATCCTGGGAAAACATGAGGCAAATTTAGTCATCGCTGAGTTCCTGCACTTTATGTGATTTATGAGTTGACTAAACTAAAATTTGGGTTGTTCTCATTCGACGTGTATTAGTACCGTCCCAATGACGCGTTCATCTAGATAAAATTGATAAATAGCAGATTTTTAGCGATGGGCTCAATCTTAGATAGACCAACATAAGAGCCATTTCCCTTATCTAAACAATTAATATTGTCAAGAAAAATGGTAGACGAACGTCTACAATTTTCCAATTCTTCCATGTATTGACTGTGTATGTATAGTCTAGATTAGACATAAAATCCGAGTTTTATTGGATCAATACCATGGGAAAGATCAAAACTTGATAAGATTCTCATGCAGTGAAGGAATGACCATTACGAAATGTATGGAAATGTGTCATAGATTATCAGGTTATAGGACAATCTTTGATGATTGGTCGTAAATCTAACTTGCACCCAGTTCAAACAAAATCCAGACAATGAAACGTAATATTAAAACGATGAAGTTCTCGGTAAATCTTGGAACCTCCTTTACTGCATAGCTACTCAGATTTACGGTCCTATCCGTGTTTTTTAGTCATAAGAGTGGAACGACGGGCAGGAGTCTAGAATGAGCTTCCAAAAGAAGCTTCTTTAAGAATCTTCTTATGAAGCTTCTTCTAAAATCTTCTTTACGAGTTTTTTTTTTATAAACTTTTTATTTATTATCTTCTTTTAGAAGCTTATTTTAGATGCATCCCCGTCGCTCTGCTCCTGTGACTAAATTAAGACTCGTGCAGGACAGTAAATCTGAGTAGCTACGCAGTGAAAAAGCCTTTTAACAAGATTTAAGGAGAATTTATCGTTTTAATTTTGCGAAAACCATTTTTTCTTATGTAGGGGAAATGGATGCAATGTCGGCCTAAATGCACCTAATTTGGGCCCATACATAAATTCAGCAATCGACTAAATTTTCAATAGCGACCAAAAATATCCATTAGTACCGTCCCAATGAAGCGTTCATCTAGATAAAATTGATAAATAGCAGATTTTTAGCGATGGGCCCAATCTTAGATCAATAGGCCGATATTAGATCCATTTCCCCTAATTAGTAAATAAATGTCAAATCTAGAAGTTAAGCAAAAAACCTCAATTTTTTTTTAAATTTTTTATTCTCATAAATGTTTAAAACTAAATAAATTAGGTACCTTGTTTCTATAGTGCCCACACTTTAACGTAATCCACTTGGAATGATGCATCTTTGCTGTCATTTTCATCCAGCTTCCACGTGGGCAACCAACTATTTTTATTAGTCCAGAATTCTTTGATTGCCACTGGTGATTGGTTGCTCCAGGGTTTGGCTGCATCTTTGTTTATCGCAGGAGCGTCGGGGAAGTAACCGTTTGTACCGCCAACGGCCAAATTCATGAGGATATAGAATTCTTCATCAAACGGTGCCATCTTTCCTCCGGTGACCCAAGGATTTGGTGTTCCAGGAGCACGTTCTTCAAAGTTTCCACGTTCCCAGAAATTACCCTCTGCCATAAGTACCTGTTCGTCGTCAACACTGAATTTCATGAAGTCGGGAGTCCATTCCATCTGGAACCGATGGAAGTCCTTGTTGAATCCTTCACCTGGTGGAGAGTTCTTCGCCTCAGAAGTAGTCTCAAACCCATTCAAGGACGGGTTCGGCCCAAAGTGCATAGTTGATCCTACTTGCTCAACACCAATATGCGTGCCGTCCGCACCGCGATAGTCAAGATTGCCACGCCCTTCCATGAGATCTATTTCTCCAGATGTCGGCCATGTTCCATACTGATTGAGCTTTGGCATCAACCAAAGTGCAGGCCATAACCAATCGCCAGTAGGAAGTTTCGCGCGAATTTCAAGTTTTCCGTATTTGAAGTTAAACGATCGAACCGTGCGCAAGCGAGCGCTTTTGATGGGGTTCAAGTAGTTGTCAGTATTGCCCATGCGCTCACATCCATACCATGCGGGGTTTGTACAGCTAAGAAAGCAATTCTCAGTAAAATTTGGCAACAATCCAACTTAATTCGTTCACTTACTAGTCGTAGGGGCTTCCACCGTGGAGATTGAGTGTACCAGTAGTAAGAAATTCTTCTCCCATCTCATCAGTCAACAGGGTAGGTCGAATGATCAGAGTTCCGTCTTCTACATACGAATTTCGGCGACTGTTAAGGTAATATTGGAACTCCCAATTCTGTAGATGAAAAAGTAAGTTAGAATAAAAGCATCTTGTTAACATCACTGTAAACATACGCCACCACCTCCGACTGTATGTTCGTGCTCCCATTTCTCCAAGCTCAGTTTATCGAAGTTATCCTCGAAAATCAAATCTCCAGGACAAAACTGCGCCTGTTTCACGAGCGTTCCACTTGCGGTCGTCACGGACGCTTTTTCACACTGAAGAACTGGTCCACCGGAATCATCACGAGTTGGTTGCTCACTACTGTTACTATCGCCCGCATACGCATCGATGCAAACTGCTATCAAGGCGACTGATAAAGCCACAATGATAGCCAGATAGATTATACTTTTCCTATCCAGAAATGACATTGCTCTAACGGTCGCCAAGTACCTAATGTCGCGAAAATTACCCGAGCGTAGCCTTTTATTGACCGACAGATCGATGAACCAATTCATTAAGTAAGACGGAGATATCTTTAAGAAATAAAAAGCCTAATCTGCAAATCGTTTCAAGATAATTCTCTACATCCACATGCGCTGGCTAGCGCCCAAAAGCAATTACCCCACGAGCTTTGTTCGCATACCAATCTTCACGTGACATCTATTCTCAGTCAGGGTTACTTTCATTAATTTTGCATAAACAATGTTTTATGGTTTTATGGAATCATAAGATGATATAATCATTGGTGTAACTAAGAGGGGGCTAGGAGGGGCTCTCCTTGAATATTTGTAGCCTCATCTAGAAACGTTACTACAATTACAACGGTTATAATGATATTTTGAATTTGTAAGTACAAGAAGCGGTTGTCAGGAATGTGCTGTACACATAAAACTTGCCGATTTTGCTTTGATGAAGCGAAGAATAATGAATGGGTGAAATAAAATGATAAAATCGCTTATTGCGACCATAATGAAAAATAGGCAGGTTTTATGCGTCAAACACAAACTTTTAAAAATTATTGTGTTAGCTCGAAATCAAAAATATCTTTATAATATCTTATAACTCCATAATATCCCATAAAACATTTTTTATGCGAAATGAATGGTAGTAACCCTCTTCTGGTCGCGGTAGTATTATGTCCCCAACACAGAAAAAAAACCCTGTTCTGGGCAATCACTAGCTAGTGTTAATGTTATTTATTGTATGATCTACGAGTTGTAATTGTAAGATAAAATCTTGTAGACTAAGACATGGTTTCTAATTATCCACTCAATCGGATAGTTCTCGAACGAATTTATATCGGGGATATGAAGAAAATAAGGTCATCCTACAAATTTTCCTATTCACTCGCACCGTATTTTTCTTACAAAAAAAAAAACGATTTGAACGCGACCGTAAAGAAGAATAGGGTAAACGCTCCTATAGTTGCGGTACGTTAGAAGCGTTAGGTTCCTATAGTTGTGGAGACGCAAACACAACTATAGGAACCTAACGCTTCTAACGTACCGCAACTATAGGAGCGTTTCCCCTATGGGTGAAATTTTGTTTTGGGAAAACTCGGAAGTTTCGTAAATAGCCAATCAAAATTGGATTTATCCACTTATGGTCTGACTCTTATATCATAATCAAAATCGCTGGAAGAATATTTGAGATACGACGAATGAATTTTCGAACAATTGTAAATCTTTAGAATAATACTTGATCTACACAGTTCGAAAAAGTAGGGTAAATTACTGTCACTATGATGCATATAAATGGAGCATCATATATCATACAAGTTTACATTGTCGATTGTGTAAATTATGAGGCATGTCATGATATATTACATATATTGTATGCAACCGTCCATCATGGTGCTAGTTTACGTACCTTATCGAAAATCCATGAATATAATCCTAATTCTATAATATTCTTCGAAGTTTTCCGAAATTCTCAGAAGGATACTTTACTATGCGCTTCTATGATTTATCATTGGCTCATACAAAGTTGCCTAATGTTTATGTAAGTTCACTGATTTTTTACCAAGTTTGCAACTTGAACGAATTCCCTATAACTTTAACAATGTTCCCTGCTCATCTACAAAATTCACTTAACTTTTGGAAATCTTCGTCAACTACATTTTTTTTACGAAATTCTCTACACTGTTATGAAGTTTGCTGAGCTTCTATTAGGGTGCCTGAACTTTTAAAACAATCCCTGCACTTCACATACTTCATATAGAGTTTTACGAAGTTCCTCAAATTGCAACATGCTCCACTATGACGTGTTCCGTTGATTTTGCTAACTTGTTTTCTACTGAACTTGTCTGAAATTCTCTGAACTACCTATATAAAGACAATGGAAACACCGAGAAGCTGGTACGTAATGGGATAAACACCGTTGGAGTCTCGTTTCGTGGTGTCGTTAACGTTTCAATTCAAATTTCGATAATACAAACTATTACTTTATTACGGTGTCTGAACTAAATAAAAACCTACAAAAACAGCTGAACCGTGTTTCGTTTCGATTCCTACAATTTAATATAACAAGTAGGGGAAATGGATGCAATTTCGGTCTAAATGCCCCTAATTTGGGCCCATACATAAATTCAGCAATCGACTAAATTTTCACTAGCGACCAAAAATATCCATTAGTACCGTCCCATTTCATCTAGATAAAATTGATAAATAGCAACTTTTTAGAGCAATTTCCCCTATGAAAAAAAAAAACTACAAGGGACAGCCCTATGGGTATGTACGCAATGGTGACGTAGGACTTCGTGGTCTTATATAATAAATGGTAATGTATATTTATTGAGCCAGGTATTAATCTGAATCATATTTTAATTATTTTCCTTACCTCATTTTTATATTTTCATTTTCTGTTATATTCACTATCGTACAGATTTGTCTGGAATCTGATGAAATATTGCTTGGAGCCAATGCCCATGATTGTGCTGGGTAATTAAAATTTTTAATCAACAGATTGCGTTCAACGTATCCACATCGTATAATGGCCACACCAAGCAGACCGCTCGTAAGTCCACCGGAGGAAAGGCTCCTCTCAAACAGATGGCCACCGGAGGAGTGAAGAAGTCTCATCGCTACCGGCCAGGAACTGTCGCTCTGCGTGAGATTCGTCGTTACCAGAAATCGACCGAGCTGCTGACTGCAAGTTGCCTTGTTCGTGAAATCGCCCAGGACTTCAAGACCGATCTGCGCTTCCAGAGCTCGGCCGTTAATGGCCCTACAGGAATCCAGTGAGGCTTTTCATAAGGCAAATCAACTGATTTCTTATCGCGAACCTTGCTAATGCTGCTTTCGAACATTTAAAAGTTCAATAAATCATCAAAACTTCTTTCACGTTGGAAATCGATTTGTGGCCCTGAAAAGGGCTGATTGATTGTTTGGATGGTACGAATTTACTTGGAGCTAGTGTACTTGGTGACGGCCTTGATTCCTTCAGAGAGCGTGCTTGGCCAACTCACCCGGCAGCAGCAGAAGGACAGCAGTTTGGATTTCGCGGGAGGTGATCGTCGAGCGTTTGTTGTATTGAGCCAGACTCAGCAATACGTTCGAAGATGTCATTGACGCAGCTGTTCATGATGCTCATGGCCTTCGACGAGACTCCGGTGTCCGGGTGGACCTGCTTCAACACCTTGTAGATGTAGATGGTATAGCTTTCCTTCCTGCGCTGTCTCCTCTTCTTCGGCTCTTCCTTGGCGATGACTTTCTGCGCCTTTCCGGACTTCTTGGCGGCCTTTCCACTGGTTTTCGGTGCCATAATTAAGCTGTTCGCTTTGGTAGAGAATAAATGACAGTCGTTTTTTTTTTCTTTTTTTTTTCGACTTCAAATGATCTTTATTTCTTGTGTTTGTGTGGTTTACATGTATGAATTTTTCAAGTGACACAGATGCGTCTTTTCAACTTTAGTACATTTGAGATTTTAATTATTATTTACAGTTTCTAGCCCTATCAGGCCTATTTTATAGTATGACCACCTTGGTGGGATTTGTTTGATTTGAATTGGAAAAAGGAGACTACTTATAACTACTATTTACAACTACAACTAACCTACAACTACTATATACACCTAACCTATTATATACAAATTGCTTATCAAAGCATGTTCTGATAAATTACATTTGTGTCTTAATTTCGTTAACTCTTGAATCTATTTTGGAAATTCCTGCCTCTTCGTGTAAATTTGTTATTCTACTGTCGAAAGGACGATCAAGAACCATCCTCAGCACTCTATTCTGAGCAACCTGAATTTTGTTTCTGTGAGTCTGTGCACATGATTCCCACACCGGAGCTGCGTAGAGGATCGCAAGTGCTATTATTTGTTTGTAGACAGCCAGTTTGTTCACCCTTGAGAGGCGGGATCTGCGGCAGATCAGTGGATACAGACACCTAACCAAGGTAGAACACTTGACTACAGTTTTCTCTACATGCGAACGGAAGAGGAGCTTTTCATCGAACAACATCCTGAGATAGGTTACTTCGGCGGCCCACTCAACCCTTGTGCCATTCATGATTACAGTACAAGATGGAGCCGGTTTCAGTTTGGGCGATTGCCGATGGAGGAACATGATCGCTTGTGTTTTGGAGGCATTGATTTTGATTTTCCACGTGGTGGCATAATCAGCAAAGGCGTTAAGGCATCGTTGAAGTTTGTTCGTTATTTCGCGAGGCATCCTTCCTTTGACGGCTATTGCGGTATCATCTGCGAACAGGAAAAACACGGAACCGTCTCCGAGGGGAGGAATGGCGGAAGTGTAAATGCTGTAAAGCAAGGGGCCCAGCACACTGCCTTGCGGGACTCCTGCTGGGATGGAAAACGTGTCTGAAAGACAACCATTCAACGATACCTTAAACGACCTTTGCTGGAGGTAGTTACGGGTGATTTTAACCAGATGTAATGGGAAGTTGAAGTTACAAAGCTTGTACACAAGTCCGTCATGCCAAACATTGTCAAACGCCTTTTCAACGTCTAACAAGGCCATGGCTGTGGACTTGGAAACAGCTTTGTTACTTCGGATGTTATTCATCACCCGTACTAGCTGGTGATTGGTGGAGTGCCTCTTTCTGAATCCAAACTGTTCCGAAAGGAGAATGTTATTTTCCTCGACAAACTTGAGCAAACGATTGAGAATGAGTTTCTCGAACCATTTGCTCAGCGTTGAGAGGAGGCTAGTCTGTAGCTTGAAGGCAATGTTGGATCCTTTCCGGGCTTGCGGATTAGTATGATTTTTGCTACTTTCCAGATGCTTGGAAAATAGTGCAGTTTCAAGCATCTGTTGAAGATAGCGGTTAGAAGAGGCTGCACTTTCATGCTTAGTCTCTTCAAGATCAAGTTGAATATACCGTCAAACCCGGGAGCCTTCATGTTCTTGGTGCATTTCAGCGCTGAGCAAATCTGTTGTACTGTAATCATATCCGCCGGAGGCACGACACAAGGGGTGGCATCTAGGTTTTGGACGCATTGCGCAACCTGATCTTCGAGCGGACTTTGGATATTCGAGCCAAGCAAATGCGATGAAGCGACATGCTCGCCGATCGCATTTGCTTCCTCTTGTGGAGTGATTAAAAGCCAATCGTCATCATTTTCGACGTCGGAATGGGTTTGGGATGAGTTTTCAGGACCTTGGCTACCTTCCAGAATGGTCTGGAGCGGTCGTCCAGATTCTGGACAACACGCCCGAAGCTTTCATTTCGGAGTGAGTCCATTTTTGAAGCAGAGCCTGTTCAGATCGGCCATTTCACGTTTTTTCCCCAGATCTCCAGTCCTCTGAAACTGGCGTCTACGAACATTTCTCAGGCGAATCAAAAGTTGGGTGTGGGAATCAATGGCAATAAACTTACCCCTCACAGGAACTCGTCGGACGCACGCCTCGTCAGCCACGGTTATGGCTTGGTGGAGTCCCTCCAACGCTCGGTCGATGTCCTCCACGGTGTCAAGCGGCGGGTTGTCGATGATGTGCCTGTCTACCACGCGTCCAAACTGGGCTCAGTTTACGCGATGGTAGTCCTTGCGCAGGCTTGAAGCAGGAGCCACGTTGCAGCCCAGTTCAGCCACCACCGGTTGGTGGTCGGAGCTGAGTTCGTTCAAGGCTACCGGCTTGGACAAGCCGATATTTGTCAGGAACAGGTCTAGCGTCGATGGGTTTCCCGCCGGTGAGATGAATGTTGGTTCATCCGAAAACCAAATGGAGTACAGCCCATGCTGTGAGTGGTCGAACAGGAGACGACCGTTCTGGTTCTGCTGGTAGTTCCACCAGGCCTCATGGCGAGCATTCAGATCTCCTCCAACTACAAAGCGGGAACCGGTACGGGTGATGGTGGACAGGTCCTTCTTAAATTTAGCCGCTAGTCCACTGCTGGTGGCACACTGTCGAGGGCAGTAGACGGTGATGAACTGGACGTATCCAGTCGACGACTCCACCTCCACACCAAGGGCCTCGATGATAGAGGTGCGGATATGGGACAGAGTGTGGTATTTTATTCCTTTCTTGACGACGACCGCAACACCACCCCCTGGAGCTGGTGCGATCAAGCCGGATAATGTTGTGGTCAGGCAACCAGAAGCTGTCGCCGGACTTTAGATGGGTCTCAGTTAGAAGGCCCACGTCGATGCTGTGCTTGCGGAGGAAGTCGGCAAGCTCAATCTTTTTTGCTCTTACAGAGCAAGCATTCCAGGTGACGATAGTTAGCGGTTTAGACGCCATATTGGATGATGAACTTACCGAGCATTAGGATCTGTTCGGGCTTATTGCGACACTTACTAAGAGCACCGGACATGTTGACGAAAATTTCCATCAGTTCATCCGCTGAGAACAGATCGGGGTTGTTGTTTTGCGCTGCTGGTTGTCTCCAGATTCCAGGGGGGATGGAGAGCTTTGGCCAGCAGAATCACCGGAAGTTGCTTGAACAGGATGCACCCGCGAATTTTCTTGACTGTGCTGAGGAGCACGAAGAGGCGGTAAATCCTCCGTCCGAAATGCCGGGACTTTGTCCTTCTTGTTCAGTCCTCGCGTTTGGAGCACTGTCTGTCGGAACCTTGATGTGCACCACCACAGTTGGCGCATTTTAACGCCACGGCTCCATCCGCAAGGCAGTTGGAAGTGGCGTGTTCTTGAGCGCAGTTGCTGCAGCGTGGCTTGATGTTGCAGTTGCGGGTACCGTGTCCAAAATTGAGGCACCGCTGGCACTGCGTTACATCACGATGGCCGCCACGGTATGGCTCCTACGGTACGATGATGGAGTAGATCGATCGGATGGCTTGCAGCGCATTGAGAGTCACCGTTCCTTTCTGGAAGTGCACCAGGAAGAGACAATCCGGGTACGTCTTCACGTTTTCGTCTCTCCTTTTCATTTGGAAGACAGCGATTGGGGCTAGCTTGTACCGGTTGATTTCAGCTTCGACCATCTTGGGGTCGAAGTTTGGTAGACCCCTGATGACTACCTTGAAGGGCTTCTCACCGGGGATGTCGTGCGTGAAGAATTCCGCCTTGGAATCCTTCAGATATTTCACGGCCACTTCGTACTCCGCTTTCGTTCGCAGCATCACCTTGGTGCCGATCCTGCCAAGCTTAAACTCAGCTGCAACGCCCAGCGATGAGAGATCGCCAATCAGCGTGTTGAGTGGTACTTGCTTCACCTTGCACTTGCAGGAAGCTTGAATTTCGCCGCACTCGGGCCGGCAGAATTCTCGGTTTCGACGGCGTCACCGAAGTCACCGATGTCGCTGGCGGTCGTCGCGGTAACATCGTCGCGTCCGCTCATACCATCGGACTGTCCTTGATTCTTCTTCCTCTTTTTCGTCCGCTTCACCGGGACTGGGTTGGTATTACCAACATCGGTGGGAAGAGTAGCGTACCTATTTGAGGTAGGTACCGAGCTACCCTCACCACTGTCCTTCTTCTCCGCTTGGTCACGAAGTCTGCTCCGGGAGCGCTGTCTTCCCATCACGTGATGCGACCGACACCACTGACGACGCGACGTGCAGTATATATGCGTACGTTTGTAACAAACTATAGGTTTATCGAACAACTCGACAGAGCGAGCAAAGACCGAACTGTACTGCTTGACGTTCAAGCAGAGAATGAATGATAGTCGTTTCGACGGTGGTGTCTCGTTTTAACCCCGTAGCATAAGAAGCGAAACTCCTCCCCTTTTCAGTATTTTGCTACCCACTGTATGTATTGTACCCTCCCTGTATTAATAATATGCTACTCGACGCAGTTAAATAAACCGACCTATCTGGTCGGTCTGTTCGCCATCCACGCCAAGCGTGTCACAGTTATGCCAAAGGACATTCAGCTGGCTCTTCGTATTTGTGGTGAACGCTCTTAATTTCTCCGTCGAAATGTATCAAAACCGGCCCTTTTCAGAGCCACTAAAAGATTCCACAAGAGAGTTGGGAAGGAAATTTCTGCTTCTTACAATTGATCGCATCACAGTGAATCCTGATCTAAAAATTGCAACCAGCTAGTGCCCTAGAACCAAAAGCGGTGCGATGCTATGACGATGACTGTAAGGGGCTTAGAAACAGAAGCCAATTCTCTTTTTCGATTTCCTCTTTTGTGATGACCATGGCTTCCTATTTCGCTCTATTTCTGCTATGCTCTTCCATCATCCACAACAATAAACGTATCAATGAATGTGTTTGCCATCGAGTTAACGTTATCTGACCGTGCACTTCGTAGTTGCTCCTCCGTGAATGATCACAACTAATCCACTTGCACAGAGAACTACATAGATGGGTGCATGGGATAAGCTTTCCATCTTCAATGTACAAGCACATTAATTCAATCTATAGATCAATTCACAGCGCCGGCCACGTCCTCACGGTCTTTTGGGGAGGGAAGGATGATGAGTTCGACGTCCGGTTGTTACTAGAGACCGAGAATACCTCTACATCTCCACGGCTGTCTCGGGAAGGATAGTTTTGTAAGTGAGGTAGGTTATTTTTAGTTTAGGATTCACTGTGGTAAGTGATGCGATCAGTTAAAGCAGAATTTGTTTTTTATTTAAATCTAGTGGGGATAGAATTAGGCAAAGTGAAAAATAGCAAGGAAGGGGCAGGCCTGGGATTGAACCTTCTGCTCAGTAAGCAGAAACGGTAACCACTGAACTACCGAACCTCGTCGTAATGCTACATCGACATGTTTCGTCTACTTACTACTCTCTGACGACTGTGCTGGGGAAGCAGCATATGCATGTACGTAATTGGTGACATTTACTACTTTTTCAATAGTTTTTTGTTGAACATAAACTGTCAAAAAAAAACAAAAGCCGGGAAACAAGGTCCGTACCCTCAGGTCATGAGATTTGCTCAGTTTGTATGAAAAAGCAGCACGTTGAGGATCCTTCCTCGAGGAAGGTGGAAAAACTCGTGGAAGCAAATTTAACAACTTTGATATACTGCATTTTGTGGTTTTTGCAAATGCAAACGGTTCATCCAAGAAGATGCACTTCAATCATGTCGAAAATCTTATGTAATTGTTATGGCCACAAAAATAAACAAATGCAGTAAAACCAGCGCAATGTCAGTTCATGCACTGTATTAATGATAATTTTGACCTTTTTGGTAAGTAATATTACACTATATTGTTGACACTATTGAAGTGCATCCACTTTTATGTGATATCAAAATTATTTTTTTGCTGTGCATTGTCGCACTGTTTTGAAATATAGCTATAAGATCGGTGACTTAGGAACTATTTATACTATTTATTGACGGATTTACAAAGCCCACACTCTTACGTAATCCACTTGTAAGGACGCTTCTTTGCTGTCGTTTTCATCCAGTTCCCAGGTAGGCAACCAATCTTCTCTGGAAGACCAGAAATCTCCTCTACCGGTTGGGGAATTATTGATCCATGGTTTGGGTTTGCCATTATTTGTAGCTGGGGCATCTGGGAAATATCCATTAGTACCACCAACGGCCAGATTCATGATAACATGAAACTCTTCATCAAACGGTGCCATCTTTCCTCCACTCATCCACGGATTTGGTGTTCCCGGTGCCCGTTCGTCAAAGTTACCTCGTTGCCAGAAATTACCGTCAGCCATAAGCAGCTGCTCGTCATCAATACTGAATTTCATGTATTCAGGAGTCCATTCAAGCTGGTACCGGTGAAAGTCCTTGTTGAAGCCTTGATCGGGAGCAGTGTTTCTCGCTGCACTAGTGGTTTCAAATCCATTCAAGGACGGGTTCGGTCCAAAGTGCATAGTTGATCCTACTTGCTCAACACCAATATGCGTGCCGTCCGCACCGCGATAGTCAAGATTGCCACGACCTTCCATGAGATCGATTTCTCCAGAGGATGGCCATGTTCCATACTGGTTTAGCTTCGGCATCAACCAAAGTGCAGGCCATAACCAATCGCCAGTAGGAAGTTTCGCCCGAACCTCCAGTTTGCCATACTTGAAATTGAATGATCGCAGTGTGCGAAGACGAGCACTTTTGATTGGATTCAAGGGATTGTCCGGAGTTCCCGTGCGCTCACAACCATCCCAAGCTGGATTTGTGCAGCTGTAAAAACAATAGGTATATGGTTAGGAATCAAAATCAAACCCAAAATCGAATGACCTCACAAATCATAAGGCGATCCGCCGTGCAAATTCAAAGTTCCACTGTTAAGGAATTCCTCTCCGGTTTCATCCGACAGCAATGTGGGACGAATGTACAATGTTCCATTTTCCACATAGGAATTCCGACGGTTGTTCAGGTAGTACTGGAACTCCCAGTTCTAGTGAAAATAAAAAAATGTCACACTGGATATCTATTCCATCAATTGGACGATAAAATACTTACGCCACCACCACCGACGGTATGCTCATGTTCCCATTTTTCCAAATCCAGCTTATCAAAATTATCTTCGAAAATCAGTTCTCCCGAACAGAAAAACTTCCGACTAACTACCGACCCACTGGCCGTCGTAACAGACGGATTTTTGCATCTTACTCTACTGTGACTGGAATCCGCGTGTGCACCATTGAAGACAAGTAATACCGCCAAGGCAGTTAACAAAATTGCACTTCCTCGGGGAAGTAACATTGTTCTCACGACGTTTGATTTCATATAACTCGCTCCACTGAAGCGGAGGCTGCCTTTTATTGACCAACGTGATGAATAGGAAAATAGATAATGAATAAATATGTCAATGAGCATATGATGATGATATGAGATGAATACCTAATCAGAAGGTTGTCCATTAGGGTGGATCGAGTTTTTATCGCGGTTCACAACCCTTGCTCTTTCAATCTGTATTGAGGTCTCAAACAACTCGGCTAAATTTGAATCAAATTGGTAATGCTATGCATTTGCGGAAGAACTTTAAATTTTGTATGGAAAACTGCATGGGGAAGTTGTTCTGCGTAGTTTTCCCAATACTCAGGACTGGTCAAAATTGAGTAATTTTTAATTTTTGACAAGCAAATGAATAGTTACGTTCCGTTTCTAATGCATTTTCCCTTACAAATTTTAAAGTTCTCCCGCAAATACAGATCATAACCAAATTCGTTCATATTTGGCCCAGCTGATGGGGATCGAAAGAGCAGTGGGTTTTAAAGTTGACCCACCCTAGGGTCCATATTTTTCCCATTTTTTTTTCTTCTATGCAATCTTTTTGTTGTTGGTAAGAACCGGGATTGGATGTGAGAGAAATGTTTTACGTGTAGACAAGTGCAATGGAAATCAATTGTTTCGGTTTGATAAATCATTTACAGCGTATCTTTTCACGCACAACTACAAGAGATCCTGAATGTATTATTCATTACTGTTTTGGCTTTTTCCAGTTCATCATAGAAGATAATAAACAATCTCGCTCCCGTTCGTACAATGATCTCTTGAACAAGATTACCCTACATATTGTTCTTCATAGCCAATTGGAACGTCACGCTCAACTTAGAGTGGTTCGAACTGTTGGGAGATGAACCATTAGAGTGATGCAAAATTTGAAATTTTCGCTCCACAATACTTAAACGATTCCAAATCGGATCCTGACTAACCTCTCAAAATTTGAACCCATTTGGTGAGAAACTGAGATGGCACAAACCATTTGAAGTTTGTATGGGAATTACTATGGTAAAACCAAGATTTTTGTTCATGTCCATCTAATAATTCACCATATCGGTCTGCTTTAAAAGTTTTCAACTGTTCTTGTAGTAAATTTTCCCAGCTACAACTTTGCTCAAGACCACTTTTTAATTAAATGCAAGGATCGAAAGTTATCAATGGTTCAATGCGCTGATGTCTTATGATCATGCTCAATCAACTGTTCAGCAGCAAAAATTGGTGTTTCTGGGGCGTTGAATAGGACACACAAATCATGGCTACTATGTCACACTGCAAAATACAGTGTTGCCTACAGAGCAGCTGCTTGATCATGTCATAAGTTTACCAATCTCTTAAATAATTAATAACTTTTTCCTGTCTCGTTTTACATAGAAACAATCTTGAGCAAAGTTGTAGCTGAGAAAATTTTCTATAAGAATGGCTATCGAACTGTTTCGCAGCTCAATATGGAAAAAGACTAGAAGGCAATGAACAAAAAGTTGAGATTTCCCATAGTAATTTACATGTAAACTTCAAATGGCTTGTGCGAAGTCTGTTTCTAACCAAATGAGTTGTAACTTTGAGAGGCTAATCAGGACCCGATTTGAAACCATTTAAGCACTGTGGAGCGAAAAAGTCAAATTTTGCATCAGTCTAATGAACCATCCTGCGGCTTAAAATAATAAAGACATAAAATACATTCAGTGTTTCAAAATTGAGAACTTTTCAAATCGATTCCTTTTTTTCAAGGTGGTAGGGTTGGTTAAATGTGGCGCTCTCGTATGTTAGACGATTGATTAAAAAACATCAACCCATAGTAACATGTATTCTACTATACGTGTATCCTATATGAGGCAACTTCCAATACACCGTTTGAAAAATTCAAGTAAATTTCTGCGAGATATAGCGCACATAAAATTAACGATAGATTTGACATAAATTTACACGATATTTCGTGTAAATTTAAGCGCAATATCGCTGAAATTAGCAATATTGTATGCAAGCTTGAACACGATTTAGTTGTTTATGCCAACTGTAGCTCAAATTAAACGAAGGGAGATTTTACGCGATAGTTAATATTTACATTTTTTTTTCTGAGTAATTTACCTTCAATGACGTTTCGGTGAATCATCCATACAGTTCAGTTTGGCTCGTGCCCTATTTTTCAATAGCAGCATCTTTGCACGATGGTTAAATTGTAAATTTAATTTTGTGTAATTCCCAATCATTTTGGCCATACATTTGTGGTTCAAAAAAAAAATCAAGCCAGGGATTGAAACGATTGACGGTTTTACATGGTTTTACTACCAACGGAAAACATAGAGAAACATTGAAATTAATTGTAACCATACAGTAGAATTTATTGTATTTACAATAAATTGTATTAAGCACAACGATAAAATAACCATAGCATTGTAGATCTAGTTATAAAAAAATTTTAAATTTTCGTGTTAGATGTACTTACAATAAGATCGATTGTTGACAATAGATCTTATTGTGATTTTATTTTATTTTGTGGTAATTGTATGCTTATTATTTTCCCGGACACTCGCTTCGTTTTTTCACTAAGATTCTGCAAAATAAAATGCCGAGCTGCTCAGTGGTGCCCATCTCGGCAAAAAATCTAAGTGTGTGCACGACAGACTATTTGTACACACTAATTCACGGTTGCTCTGTTCGATCATTTTATTTACATTTTTCGAACTGTAAATTACAGGCAGCTCCCACACCTGGACCCTACCTATCGACCAATCAACTCATGAACCGGGGACTAACGGCTTTACTTCCCTTCAGAATGAAGACGTGATCAAATATGTTATCCCTCAGAACATCCCGGCGGCGTCGACTGGGATTGAACCCAGGCCTGCTGGGGTGAGAGGCAATCACGCTTACCACTACACGATCTGCGATGCTAGTTTTCTCCGTTGTCAAAATCCCTAGTAGGCAAAGATAGGACCGCTTACCGTAGAACGCAGTAATCCACCCCACCGAAAATTGCAAAACCCGCCACCAGATGGACGAACAACTGCCTGTTTGGAGGTCATGAGGGATGGCCATTTTGAAAGGAGGATAACAAGCACGACAAACTGGCGATGAACGACGAATGGCCCGGGTCACTGGCCGACAGCCTGGAGCAGTGACCCAATGACTTACTCAACTTTCAAATTAATAATCACTGATCGTAAGACCACCAGCAAAAAACGGTTGATCAAGCAAGGAAGCTAGCTAAATTTAATTTGAAAAGTGAACCACCGTGGAAACATAAATTAATAGTGGAAACAGTGAAAAGTGTGAGGAGAGAGTCAAGGTTAACAGGTAAAACACAATAATTACCATTTTGGTAAAATGGCCCTAATGCTAAATGTATTTGACCATTAGGACCCCGCTGTATTTAGTACAGATCACCTGTACACACAGTGAAGTTCCGGTAGACGAACCGGAAGGTTACATTGTCGCTGCCTGCCAGCCCGAGTACGTCACCAACCCGTAGGTCTATGACGTGTAACCCGGTGCTCGCCGTCGCCACCCCGTACAATTACAACAAGCGCGCGAAGGAGATCGAGAGAGGAAGCGAACGGCACCGGTGGTGTAAGCGTGATTACCTCTCACCCCAGCAGGCCTGTGTTCAATCCCAGTCGGCGCCGCCGGGATGTTCTGCGGCATAACATCTCATCTTCGGAAGGGAAGTAAACCCGTTTGTTCCCAGGTTCATTAGTTGATATGTCGATAAGTAGGGTCCCAGGAGTAGGAGCTGCCTCCCTGGCGTCGGTAGCATTAGTGCTCAGTACGGAAAACAAGATCGATGAGCCGCTGGTGTAAATTCATCAAAAATGTTTTAATTTCTGGTAATTAATGGTTTGCTTGGGTTCATTTAATTAGAATATTTCGAATTTATTACTATTTTTATATGGGGACTGAGTTTTACATGTTTAGTGGTGGATTATCAGTGATACTAGTCCAGGTTGAGCGGTTAGTTCTTCCTAGTGGTTTGGTCGGGTGGTGGCTCTTTTGATGTGCCGGATTGCATGCCTAAGCCTGGAGCTCTATAAAGGGTAATGTTAGAGAAAGTTCTTTCTTCAAACTAAGTTGAACATCTGGAAGTTAACTTCCAGATGTTTGAATGATTTTCACAATGGTTTCCTGTTTCCACGCGGAGATTTCCGACGTCAAGTGCGTGAGGTGGAATGGAGGGGATGGCATGAGAAATTTGCTTTACTGTCAGGTCAGTATCAGTAATACATGGAATTTCGTATGATGACTGTTCCAATAAAACATAACGAATACTGAAAATTCGGTAATCTATTTTTCTGAGTTTTAGTAACTCTCCCCAAAGCTGTTATTTTACGGTACGTTCAGTATTTGTTATCACCCTATTCAGTAGTTTATCGCAAAAGCTACTGATCATCAGTAGTTTTATTGAGAATAGCTGAATTTTCGGTAATTTTTGTGATATACAGTTCGGAACGTGATTAAGTGTTGTTGTCGTCCCTCTCCCTTAACACAAACGGTAGAACAACATTCGAGCAAGAAGAAATTTTCAAATAACTGTCATATGGCAATGTGTGATCTCGTTCTACTTCCCCAATTTTGTGTAAATTATACTATTTCGGATCAGAAATGTTATTACTAGGACATTTCAGAATACACACAAGCACAACATCAGCAGCACTTATTATGAGAAAAACTAAAATACATAAATACGTGACGGTCTTCAGCCACAGTGTCGTATGACAGAGACTGTCATCTGATATTTTAGTTTGGTACTGTATTTTGATAGCTTGTTTGTCGGAAGCAAAGACAGCCGATTATCACAGAAAATGCGTCGACTACGGTAGCCGGTTACAGCACTGATTCAAGCTGAGGTTGTTGCATCATATGTACCCGCGGTACACTATTCCAAAAGCAGTCACGCAAATAGAAAACAAAAACAGCAAAGTTGCATTACGGTGATACAACTGATGTCAAATAATGGTCATTTAAGACTGATAAGGTTTTTTCACTTTTGATTGCACATTGTACTCTGACTCTCGAATACTTACTACCTGTTGAGATAAAAATTGAAACGCATTGCTAGACCAAAGTAAACTTCAGTTTTGTGGGTGCTTTTTTTCCTTTATTTACATAACGTCGGTCTCTGTTCCGCAATCTAGTGTCAATTACCGACGGACATCGATTTCCAACCATTGACGGCAATTGCATGTGTAGGAAGGCAGCTTCCACACCTGCGTAGGATATTGCACCCATTCACAACACACATGGGCCAGGACCAACTGCTTTACTTCCCTTCCGGAGGAAGACGTGACTAGAGATTTTTAAGCCGCAGAAAAATCCCACCGACCTCGGCTGGGATTAAACCCTGACCCATTGATGTGAGAAAGCAGTCACGCCTACTATTACACCACCGGCACCGGTTAGTTTTGTGGGTGTTGATTTGTATTAATTCTAGAGAAATTATGCCCTAGGCACCTAAATTAGTTTTCATGCAACTAATTGAATAACTTGTTTCACACTCAAGCATCTGAACTGACTATCATATGGCAATGTGGACGGTACCACCCTCCGCATAACTATATGGAGGGGTTACTGTATTCTCATGTCATTTAAGGTATCGCATGACGGATTTTGACCCTAATCAGAAACTGGTTACCCAGATAATGTCTAGATGAGGTCACCTAATGGCTACAATTGAACTGGTTTTTGAATTCTCTTGTCATTTGAATGTCACATGATGCCTCGTAACGTGGGTAGATCACCTTTTCGTGGTACGTTACGGGAAGTAAATCTACCACCGATTCCTAGTTATGACTACTTCAAACTAGGCGAACAGGATTTTTCAGTCATCAAAGGAACACATCTTAGTCCTTGTTACTTTCAATGCCTTGTTGATAGTGACAAGATTCGGCTTTGTCCACCAAAGATGATCTTAAAACAAGGAAAAAATGAGATAGTTAGTCTTCATCTATGTGATTCCTAATCTTCTATTCGTTGTTCCCTAGTTTGAAGATGGTTAAGACTAGGGTTCTGATGCATGGTCATTATCAGTATCATTCCTTAATTTTGCTACTAAGGACTCCAATGTTGACTGTCAAAGGGGCGCGCCTTTAGAGGGTGTTTCAACACTCCTAAAGGTATAAATAGCGGGATCTTTCAATTGGAGTTGGATCCTTGCGATAAATTCAAGAATGACAACTGTAAAAAAAAATCGAATACTTCATCATTTCTCAATTGTGATGGAGTTATACGACTTGCACTAAACTAAGGACACGGGATATATTACAATAGATCAAATTACTGGTTGCAGTAGTGTTATACCTTGTACAGACATACAAAGTTCACTGTTGTACTACCGTTGTACCAACAATCAATACGAAACTAACGATTTTAAATTGGCTCACCACTTTAGTAGCCTATTGGTCCCAAGCAAACGATTAACGTACCCTATTCTAGTTGAAATTCTGTTACTACACTATGTTTGTTTTGATTCGCTATGAAAGTTTGACAGATAACATCAGGGGTGTGTGGATTCATGCAGAACATGCAGGGGTGAGTGAAATAGCTTGGGACTGCTTGGGACCGTTGTTCTGGTACTGAGTGAGCTAAAAATAATAATGATTTTCTTCGGGACCCAGTGGTCTTAGAGTTACCTCTATGGTTGTACTGCTTTAAGCTAGTACCACAAATTGTACGTTTTGAGGTACTAGATTAAAGAAGTACAACGGTACTAATTTGTATGTTTGTCTGTGGTATTAGGGACAGAGGAAGAAAAAAAATGTGTCACATGTTGGCTTTTATTCGTTTCAGGTCGGATTTAGTACCATGGCTCATACAAACCAGAACATGTTCCGGCCATATCTCTGGAACCAGAAACCAGATATATAAACCAGACACTTAACAAGCTGAACATCCGTCACAGCTCAATAAAATCTATGGTAGAATGAGAAGTGGATCGGAAATTGCGCTTTCTGGATTTCATGGTCACCAGGAAGGGGGATGACACGATCAAATCCAGTATTTACTGCAAAATGACATCCACCGATCGCTATATTGGCGTTGACGGCGACTCTGTAGCTCTAGCTCTAGCTTTACTGCTATGGTAAAATTCATAAGCAAACGTCAGACTGTGTGTGCGTACTTTCCTTTCACTCCATCGAAAATTCCCATAAGAAACTGTCAATCTTTGCTAGAAGAGGTGATTTTTTAACGGTGCCGTCAACGCCAATTACATTAAAATCCACTTTGGCTGGAAATATGGCTTCGTTTTATGTAATCTTGAATTTTCGCTTCGTTTCCAAGGTAATTTGATTATGTTTTATTTACTACTAAGTAGCCATCCTTGACGACCCACAACAACAGAACTTATTTGTTTTGTAAGAAACGATATAGAGAAAAGCAAGGAATTTATTTTTATTTTATTTTTTATTATAGTAACTTTAACTGGGTCATTCGTGACTTGTCCGGGGATGAGATTTGATCTCGTGACATTGACGTGAGAAGTCCACTACGCCGGACCCATCCCCAAAAGCGGATATAATAAGAAATGACAACCGGTAGCTAAATTTATTCCAAAAATTTACAAAGCCCAAACTCTCACGTAATCAATTTGGAAGGAAGATTCCTTGCCTCTGTTTTCATCCATGCGCCAAGATGGGAGCCACAAGTTCCTTCCATTCCAGAAATCGCGAGCTGCAGTTGGTGAGGTGTTTAACCATGGTTTGCCACGGGCACCATTGGTCGCTGGCGGAACATCGGGGAAGTAACCATTCACACCTCCAACGGCCAAATTCATGAGAATGTAGAACTCTTGATCAAACGGAGCCATCGGAGTAGCATGCATCCATGGGTTCTCAGAGGCTGGAGATGAAGTGACGAAGCCACCCCTTTCCCAAAATCCAGATCCTGCATCAATACGTCGCAGCACTTGGTTATCTACGCTGAACGTAATGTGATCAGGTGCCCATTCCAATTGATACAAATGGAATCCGTTATTGAAGCCTTGACCAGCACCGGTGTTCAGACTAGCCGAAGTTGTGTCCCAACCATTCATGCTCGGATTTGGTCCAAAGTGTAGGGTTGATCCTACTTGTTCTACGCCAATATGCTCACCTCCGTTGCGGTAGTCCAAATTACCACGGGACTCCATCACATCAATTTCTCCAGAGGCGGGCCACGATCCATAAGATTGTCGTTTTGGCAAGAGCCATAGTGCTGGCCATAACCAGTCACCAGTTGGGATCTTTGCTTTTATTTCCAAGCGACCAAATTTGAAGTTGAACGATTCCACTGTTCGCACTCGAGCGCTCTTGATCGGGTTGACGTAGTTTGCGGCATTTCCGGCACGTTCACAACCATAAAAGAATGGACCAGTGCACACATCGGCAGGTTGAGCTCCGTGAATGTTCAACGTTCCACTGGAAAGGAAGGCTTCTCCAGTATCATCAGCCACTAAAGTTGGACGAATATAGAAAATACCATTTTCGCAGTACGAGTTTGATCGATGATTCGTGTACCATTGGAATTCCCAGTTCTATGAAAGAGTACATAATTAGAAAAATGTAGTTTGTTATAAATTCTCAAACTCACTCCACCACCAGCAAGGGTATTCTCATGTTCCCACTTTTCTAAATCCAAATAATCGAAGTTATCCTCGAAGATGAGATCTCCAGAACAGTATGGGCCAGCACGTGCTTGACTTCCGCTCGCCGTAGTTGGAGACTCATCGCACTTTGGGGCACTCTCCTCGGCTAGTGCCACAGCCAAAAGGCACGTAAATATAACTACTGCTTTCATTTGATTCGGTTTTGGTGCAGCAACTATGAGCACTAATCCTGCTTGAACATTGATTCTTCTTTTATAGCAAAGATTAAGCTAATTATCAATACCGATACCTTATCAGTAAAACTTATTGCTACCTGCAGTGGCGCAGCCAGGATTTCATCAAAAATCACATTTCCTAATTCAAGGGATGCTAGTTCGATTTCATGAGAAACAGCTAAGAAAAAAGACATGCTTAATATACATTTTCACTGAAGATCGCTCACATCACCCAGGAAACCATTTTTGGAAAATTTGCACTATTTTCAACTACCAATAAGTTAAGGGAAATTTCCTGCAAAAGCTGTTGGAAACTGTTTGGAGAGGTCAGAAGAAAAAAACTTCCGAAGAAAGTTGGAAGAAACTTCTAATGGCAGCTGACCAACTCTGTCGGGAGATAAGAATCCAGGGAAAGTCAGAATAAATTTACGTGGCAAGTCGGAATAAACTTTCAGAGAAAGTTAAGGGCAGCTTCCAGAAAAAGTTATCAGACACTTCCAGGGAAAGTCAGCAGAACTTCTTGAAAACTCAAAAGAAATTGTATGAATCGTCCGTTGTCATCGGATGAACCTTTCAGAGCAAGTCTGGCGAAAATTCCAATATGAAACAGGAGGAAGCCAAAAAACACATCTAGGGAAAATCGGAATAAACATACAATAGAGAAGTTGCAGGAATCTTCCGGTGGAAATCAGAAGCATTCAGATGAAGCCGTTTAGAGCATCTTTAAAAAACTGGAAAATGCTTCCGTGAAAACCTGTTGCTGGTAAAATACTAAGAAAAGTCAGAACAAAATTCCGGAAGTAGCCTTACACACATAGGTTTTTTTTACTGATATTGGCATTTAATTACACTGGATCTCAGTGAAAAACTTGCGGAGATTCAGCTAACAAACGGGAATTTCGCTGGGATCTCAGTAAAAATATATGCCGATCTGGTCGGCGGTGCCAATTTCGCAAAAAAAAAAAATCTAAGTGTTTAGGACACTTACAGGGTAATACCATAGAGGTAACTCTAAGACAAGTAGGTCCCAAAGAAACGTGCTCAACTTTTTGGCTCACCTCTGGTACTATCTTCGGTTCCAAGCTTGTCGAATCACCCCTCGAAACATAGGAAAAACCAATAACCCCTCATTTTATCTGTCAAACTTTCATAGCGAATCAAAACAAACATTGCGTAGTACTAGAATTTCGACTAGAATAGGGTACGTTAATCGTTTGCTTGGGACGACGAAGAAATCAATTAAAATGATTTAAGCTTGTGCCATCAGCCACCAGATGGGCTAGTATTTTTGTTTTGATTTGAACATAGTTGATTTTGTGTGCAATATAATCTTTGACAGTGTGCAAAGAGTATATCATTTTGTCATTTTTTTTATGCATTTCAGTTTAGAGTAGAGTGAAAGAGATAGAACCAAAACATTCTAGTACATTTAGTGTTGCCATGTGGTACAATCCAGTAGTAGTGGTGTTGCCATGTGATACACTGAAAAATTGCAATAGCAGGTGCTTCACCAAAGTTTTCGAGCCGCTCCGTCTGTCACTTCGTTTGTGGTACCCAACAAACAATTTTAGCTGCAGCTTAGCTTATACAGGCAAAAATTAGCTGCATAAGGCAAATTTTGGCTGTATAAGCTAATCTGCAGCTAAAATTGTTTGTTGGGTAGTACAGTGCAGTGCTTTTGCAACCGCGAAGGCTTACAGGCATACCGCGCCAGTAAGCAACCAAATTGAGTGATCGAATACCGAAGAATACCGTAGCTAGAACCTGTGCTCGAAAGCTGTATGACAACCTGCAGACCAAGACGGTGGGTGCATACTTATGAATGATGAAACCTATGTAAAGGCCGACTTCGGACAGCTTCCAGGGCCAACGTTTTACAAGGCAAAGGCTCGAGAAGGTGTCCCTGGCAGATTCAATTTGTTTTTGCGGATAAATTTACACGCGTATAGATAGGGGAAATGGATTTAATGTCGGCCTAAATGCCCCTAATTTGGGCCCATACATAAATTCACCAATCAACTAAATTTTCTAAAAACAAAAACTATCTATCAGTATCGTCCCAATACCGCGTTCATCTTGATAAAATTGATAAATAGCAGATTTTTAGCGATGGGCCTAATCTTAGATCCATAGGCAAACGTTAGAGCCATTTCCCCTATATAATATGCCAGGGAATTTGCAGTTGCGGCCAGAAGACAAAGGTTTTCGTCACTAACAAAATTATTACAAAACCGAATGTCTTTAGTCGCATGACGGTCCAGTGACATTTTGACCGGATCTTACGAGTCACTACAGCCGGGAAGTACAACAATGGTACAATGACAACGGAATCCAATTTGTTCCTAAAACCACCCAATTATCTCCAGGCTAATATGCGTCTAATATAGAGCTTTGCATGCCCTATGTTAGTCGTGTATCAGCCTTATATTGCAAAAAGGCGAATTAGCGGGCTTGTTGGTTACTTGGGTATTCACAGGTCTTCAGAACTACTTGAAAGATCCTAACATGTTCCTGAAGTAAACGGAACTACCTTGAAGTTCTTTTGTAGTTTGAGAAACTACCCTGATACTCACAATACTTCCCATCTAATTGTTAAACTTCCCTGATCTTATTCGTATTAATTTTCGAAACGATCATGGATCTTCTCTCAAGTTTTAACATTTCACTGAAGTTCTCGAAACTTATGTACTTTCTCTAATGTTTACGGAATTTCTCTGAGGTTCTCTGTTCTTTCCTGAAGTTCTCGAAACTTCTCTAAAGTTTTCGCAGTTCTCATATGACTTGTTGTACTGCCCTTAATTCAAATTAACTGTCCTAAAAATGAATAAGTTTCTGTGAACTTTTGAACTAATGTGAAGACCTCAATTATTTTCTCTGAACACCTGGGAACTGCTTAAAATTTCCCGCTAAATTTCTGAAACAAATTTTTGTGCTTACTAATTTAATGTTTTTGAAGAGCTCTGCACTGCACTTCTGTGAAGTTTTCGAAGTTTTTCAGAAATTTCTGGAACTTCTTTAAGTTTTTCATTGTGGTTCGCAATTTTTTTGAAATTTATGCAAAATAATTAATACAGTTCTATGATTTTCACTGAACTTCTCATAATTTTTCTTAAATTTATCCTTATATTATCGACACTTATTCATAACTTCTTCAATAGTTTAGAGTTTCTTGATGATTGTAAAACTGCCCAAAAGATTTCTGTATTGCCTTAAAGTTCTCTAGACTGCCCTGAAGTTCTCAGTATTTTTAAAAGAACCCGCAATTTTTCAGGAATAACATATATTTGACTTGAAGTTTGCACAATTTTCCTTCAGTTTTATAAACTTTATACACGTTTACGGAACTTTGCTTTAAATCACTAAACTTAACTAGACTACTATCCCTGATGTATTCTATGCTTACCTGATGTTTGCGCCAATTTAGGAAAATCCCATCATGGGATCATGAATCGAATTACGAAGTACTCAAGAACAACCGAGCTATATTATAATACAACAAAGTAAATAAGGGTCATTTTCGCGATGCTCGAACCCTTATCAGCTCCCGTTTCAATAGGTATAATCTCTGCCTTAAGTTAATAGGATTGTTCTGAAATTATCTGATCGTCCTTGAAGTACTCGGAACGTCGCAGAATGTCATGAAACTATCTAAGCATATCTAAATTTGTATAAAATTTTCTAGAATTTCTGGAAGCTATCGGCACTTGTTAAAAGCTCTCGCATTTTGTTTTAATTAATGGAACTACGCTTATGTTCCCTTATCAACTTAGCTAATTGTTCGCATTTTGATTTAAGTTCTTGACATTTATATTGTATAACACCCTTAAAATACATTTTAACATTTTCCGGATGTTCTTAAAAAAAATGGATTTCTCGTAAATACCTGTTAAAAGAAACTCATTTTCATCCAACTCATTCATTAGGATGAAAACCCTAACCACCCCCCCCCCCCCACCCCTTGCTGTGCCAGTGGAAGTATCTGTAATATCCCCAGCGAAGGTGACTTTTATGTTGTGAGACCCATCATTTCACAGACCCACATCAACTCGATATCTCCTGCGCTGCCGTTAATGGCAAGTTCGGCTCATAACACAAATCAGCAAGCCGAGAAAAACTCGTTTTATGTTAGTTTCGTACCAACTCGTTTGGTTGTTGTTGAGTTCATGTAGTATAATAAAACTATGGGTGATTATCTAACACTTCCATTGTAGTTCCATTGTCCACAAAGTTTTGATACAATAGTAAATGGGACCGACTTGTGATGTGCGACACTGCATTAGAGCACCACAATGAAGCGTGAACAGTTATCTTGTAAAGTCCGGTAATTAAATCTCACATGCCTTCAGATAAGGATTCTATTAAAATGACTTGATGTCTATTCCGCAGAAGCTAAATTTGCTCCGGTACAAAAAATCAATTTAATCTTTATGGAATTTAACGCATATACGATGACACTGCCATTAGCAAGTTATTATTGATAAACTTGGTTTGATTACACGACTTGCATGGAATTTTATAGGTAGGTATACGCGTGTAGCAATTCGTGCAATTGATCAATGATGATGCAATAATTTTACTGGGCTTTGGCTAAACAGTAATGACCAAATTTTGACAGGCTCTCCGCGCATCAGCCGTTTCTCTTTCAATAATTTCATATATCCGTAATTTCAAATCTCTTTCTCATTCATCTTAAAGAAAGATGTTTAAGGTATACTTTGGTGCAATAAGACCACTGAAAAAGCGCATGGCCTTTGTAGAATATTAGAAAAGATGTACAAAAAGGGGGCTGACAAAATCGGGTAATTACTGAAATAGTTCAAGGGATTATTTATTGACCGTCTAAAACGCTGTCCAGACTGAGCAGTTATAACATGTTATAACGGTTGTCAAATAATTGCAACACAGAAACCACCATCAAGATAGCGCTATAAAATGTTATAACTCTGTAGTCTGAACATTCTACCATTTGTTAGCAAGGGGCGTTAGATTAAAAAGCTTGATTCATTTGAAATTATAAAT